GTTCAGTAAGTGGAGGACTCTGAACCCCAATGTGCAAATCTGCGTATCCCTGCCCCAGGGAAGCCCTATGTTTCCATGGCCAAGTTTCCTGTGCCGGGGGTCTTGGAAGACGTATTTTGATCCCTCAGAACTTTCTAGTTTCACTTTCAGTCACTCCTGCTAGGATTCAAGTAATCTCTCTCTCTGATGGTGGGGCAGAGCGAGAGGAGGCCYGTGGAGGAGGGCAGAGAGACTCTCCTGGGGCTCTCTGTGGAGTGAAAGGTGACCCATGGATGGCAGTGGGGACCCAGCACCCTGACCCCCAGCTTACGGGGCACCGTGTACCACTGCAGCCTGCAGGCCTGGTCCGGGCAGCTGGGGGTCAGAGGGGGCTGTGTCACTGGGGCAGGGCCATGTCTTCAGTCTCATTGTCACTTCCCTGCTCACAAGATGTGTCCTGTGAGAGCATCCAGGGCAGTTGCCCAAGGAGGGGACAAGGCCAAGTGAGGGCAGGAGAAGGGTCTGGTCCTCCGGGCAGGAGTTGGTGTGGGGCACAGGCACGGGGTGTCGGTTCTGGAGATGGCAGGAGGCTGTGGGTGGCTGCAGGGAGGGCGGCAGGTGGGAAGACAGCAGGGACTGGTGACCGAAGACTGCGAGCTTCGTGCTTGGACTTGCCCCTGGCCCCTGCCCCCACTGCGGCACCCAGAGGAGGTCAGAACGGCTGTACCCAGACAGGTCAGATATGGACACCCTCATTTCCTCTGCCAGTGTCCCTTTCGATTYTCAGCATTTGCTTATAAAACAATTTGTATTAACAAAATGTAAAAGMAAGTGAGACAAAATCTTTACACTCATGAAAGAAATTTCATAAAAACACTTGAACACACACCGTCAGCCTCTCTATCCGTGGGTCCCACGTCTGCCAGTTCAACCAACCGGGTGTTGAAAATACGGAGAACAGAAATGTGTCTAAACTGAACATCCAGGGAGATTTTCTGGTCATTTCTGTAACCGGGTAGAATAGCAACTATTTACTTAGTATTCACGTGGGTTTGGTATTGTAAGTGACCTAGAGATGCTTCAAATTATGCAGGAGGCTGTGCATAAGTTATGTGCAAATACTCYGTCACTTCACATAAAGGATTGAACATCCTCCAAGTCTGGCACAGGAGCTAATCTCCTGAGAATGCTGAGGGATGTTTCTAATTCCTGGTTTTCGTTGTTTAAAATAGAAAATACATTTCATTTTTAGAAATAATTTTAACCAAAATTTAGAAAGAGAAAATGTAGTTAATGGCAAAGAAAAATCTGAAATACCCTCTCCTTTCTCCAGACACAGCCACTGTCATTTTGCTGCATGGCCCCAGCTTCTTCCCCACAGATTGCATACTTACAAGAGCCAGCTATATTGCAACACTGCTTTGAACTTTTAACTCTAGTCTACTTTGAACATTTTTTTCAGATCCATGAATATATTTTAGCAGTGTAGCTTTTAGTTTCTAAAATCACAGGAATATTCCTAAATGAACCACAAATTAACTCGTTCTCCTTTGCTGGAGGCGTAGGGGTTTCCGGTGTCTTGTTATTATAAACAACACTGCAAGGAGCATCCTTGAAAAGCCATCGTCTAGTATTTCCTTAGGAGGAACTTCTAGAAATGGGGTGTTTAAGCCGCGGACTGTGACCATGTTTAAAGACATGGAAATGTGTGGTCAAATTGTTTATCAGAAAGTTGGTAGAGATTTAAACTCCTTGGCAGTAATCGAGAATAGCCTTCTCCTAGAGGAACCGGAGCATGTTGGAGGCAGGACACGTAGGGTGACTGCGCCTCATCTCCTGAAGGACAGCTGACTGAGGTACAAGCACCTTGGCATTGACTGGGAAACCAGGAAAGGGTGCACCACGGGACCCCAAAGAGACTGGACTTCTCTTCTGAGTTGTCTTCCTGCAGTGCACTTCACTGTTGAACTTGGAGCCCGTGACTTTTAGGAGAGGTGTTTATTCAACATTTTGAGGACATGAAGAAGAGAAAATCCACTTCCAGAATCAACCAATTTCTAGGAAGTAGTTGTACCGAGGAAATAGCCCTCCCATGTTGTTACTAGGAAAACCAAACCAAACCAAACGGACAGATTGACTAGTGCCTAACAGAGGTTCTCACTGGGAGTGACTGGGGTGGGGCTGTGGGAGGTGGGGTGTCCCTCTGTGAGGGTGTGCGGAGTGTCTTCAGCACAGAACTGAGAATCAAGTGTTCAATCGAGGGTATCCTGGGACATCAGTATGATCGGTTTGGGGATAAGAAAAAGTCCATATTTTCTATAAAACTAAAATATCCCAAAGGTTTGAGCATGCTGTCCCTGAAAGTAAAACCCCGACCCAGGACAAAGAGCTTTCTGAACTTCAGTGAGCTGGACAGCGTTAGCCTTCGACATCACACTCAGTTTCCACAGACAAACAACCTGTTCCCATATGACAGAGCAGATGTACAACAGGGAACCCCCCTCCTTGCTCTTTGCACCGCCATTTGCCTTTTTAGAGATGTTTTCTTTGCAGTAAAACCAGAGCACCCTTAGCTTTCAGTGTCTGCACCCTGGCTGCTGATTTAGAGCGTGTCCCACGACTCACTGGCCTTGTGGAAGGTGCACGTGCCCTGGGTCCCAGCAACTCCACACCACAGTACTCACTCCTGGCCAGTTTCCCCCAGTATCGAGTGAGGGCCTGGTGGAAAGGCGCTGTGTGGTTCAGCAGGTGGGGTGGGTGCAGGGAGTCTGTGTTTCTAATCAGCTCCCCCCTCAAGCTGGGGCTCCCAGGCCGAGGACCTCACTTGAATGGTGAGGTGCTGGGTGTTGGGTCTGAACCTTGGTGCACATTGGAGTCTCCAGCAGGGGCCTTTCACACCTTGGATGCCCAGGCTGCTCTCCAGCCTCAGGACACCAGGACCTCCGTGGTGAGGCCCTGCAGGTCTTCAGTCTTCCCAGGTGGTTGCCAGGCTGGGGACCTGTGCAGCCTCCTCCACGTGGGTGCAGGGAGACAGTGGGGATATTCACACAGAGGACGCCCAGGGCTGCTTCATGACTGACTGTATCTGCCTGAATTCACTGGGCTGCATCTTGCAAGTAGAGTGCTGTGGGCCCAAAGCAAGCCAGATACCATTTATGTTAACTTGAAAAAGCGCAAAACAATACATGTTGTTGATATGGTAAAGAATTAAGATTCGTCGAGGAACGTGGCATGAGTTCACTTCAGGGTGATGGCGACTTCTGGGGTGTCCAGGAGGGGCATGGCACGGGGAAGACTCTGCTGGGTTTGAAATGACTTCTTCCTTTCAGCAGATAGGAAGGGGAGGGAGGGAAGGGAGGAGGGAGGCAGAGGGTGAGAACCAGAGCAGGGAAGGACGGGAGGGAGGGAAGCCCTAGTGATGGGCAGCGGCCTGTGCTCACCCTCACTCGGGTTCCTCCTGGCACACTCGGGTGGCTGGGAACGTTAGTGGGACATCTGGCTACAAAGTGGCCCATGCCACTTCCTCATTTAGATGACCAGAGGGTGTGGCATGCCTGGCTTCCGGAGCCTGTCCAGAGCCCGAGGTCAAGGCTCCTTGGCCCACAGGAAGCAGATGCAGGGGGAGAGGGGGCTCCTGGTGGGGTCCAGAGAGTGGAGAGTGGCAGGACCAGGGTTTGGGCCCCTCTGCCTGCCCAGGTGTCTCCGAGCACTCTGGGGAGCAGTCTCGGGGGAGACCCTCAGCTGGGGCTGTTTACAGTTCAGGGTCACCTGCTCTGGTTCCCTAGGGCCTGCCCTCCCTGTCCTGCACCCGGGTCCCCTTCCACATGGCAGTGGAGCGTGAAGACACTCTCTGTACCCTACGGGGGTGTCTGTGCTCCAGGCTCTGGAATGTGGAAGTCACTCACAGGCCCGGCTCCTGCAGGTGCCAGTTCATCACAGGAAAAGTCTAACTGGCAGCTGACAGCTAGCGGTGCTCACTTTCAAGTGCAGCTAGGGTTTTGGGTTCACCACCCATTTGTGGTCAGTGTTTTTATTATTTTTCTAATCCATAGTGAGTGTCCCCCTGCACGTGTATTCTAACTCTCCAAACATCCCAGTAGTCTGTCAAGGAAGAAAAAGTTGCCTTTTTGTCTTATGCATTTTTAAATGAATAAGTTAAAATGAAAGTAAATGGAAAAATAAAGAATTAAAAATATCCCTGGTCCCGATGGGAAACTTTACCTGAACCCCAAAAGAGGTAGGTGGTATGCATAATCCTCACCTTCCAGAACAATCCATGTAAAGACATCTCACATCTGTGGTCTGAGTCATTTCTCTTTCCCCCAAGACACTCTGGAGCAGGCGCTGAACCCTGCCTGAGGCGGGCACTTCTGGAGCAGGGAGGAGGCTGCTCTGAGGCTGGGGCTGGGCTGGGCTGGGGCTGGGGTTGGGGCTGG